TGAACAAAATCCCCTTGTGTAAAATAGTTATTTGATGTCAATGTATTTATTTTTATTATCTTATTATGATCCGTATGTGACTGCTCAAATTTGGGATCAATTGAAATCTGGTTATTCTTTTTTTTTTGTTTTTTTGAAAGGAGTCAACATGCAAAGTCAACTCACCTTTCATGAAGTAGTTATCAAAGAAATATATTGACTAAAGGATTGCTTATCGTAGTATCATGATGTGGCCATGGAACTTTCATTGGTGGTCATCGGATCGCTATAAGAAATTCACTTCCATTTATTTCAAGCTCTTAAAAAAATCATTCCACATACAAAATGATGCAACTTTTGCATATAACAAGACCATCTTGGATTTTTTTTATTATTATTTTGAATAAATTATTGAAAGAACTTGGTACATTAAAATGAGAAAGCTTCATCCATTCTAAGGCTTAGATCTTCTTAAGCAATGATGGGCTTTCTCTTAAAATTTTCAATTTTTTGTTCATTAATCTTTACAAGTCCAATGGAATGTGATTACCATCAAAAGTATCCACTCAGTGCAAACAAGCTTATCCTAGAATGGCAAATTGAGAACTGGTGAGGTAGTCCCAAGTATCTGTGGTGAACCACCCAGAGCTGCAAGTAGCTATGTAGAGAGAGAGAGGAGCCAATGATGTCATGGTCAATGATTGCATTTGGGGAAAATTGTGTAACTTATGAGAGGTGCGTTTTAAAGAAGTGGTTAGATTGTGAGCCAAGACACAATAAAAAGGCATGGCGTCTACTTTCTACACACAAAAAAATCAAGTCATTTTGATTGTACTCACTAAGGAGTTCAAAACTTTCACCTAATTGACAAACTTGAACATAATGTGACCAAGTGATGACTACATAGAAAAGGCTGATTCACCCCTAAATTCTCTTATCTCAAATTGTGATATAGGCAAGGCTATTACTAGAGTTTATTTATTTCAATATTAGAATATGGGAACTAGGTTCTACCTAATGTTTTTATTAATTGGGCATATGAAAGACATATGACAAAAATCATTTATTACTTACTTTGTTGAGTGCTTATGCCTTATTTTATATGATTCATCGAGAAAGTTTCTTGACTTAATTATAAATGCCTGTGGAAGAGTCCAAGAGATAAAAAAAGGCCTTACATAGCATTAAATCATCATAAAAAATGAATAAAATTCTAAAAATACTGTTGCAACTTTTCCATCCCATCAAAATCCATCATAAAGAAGAAAAATCATGGAAGGGCGTGCCAAAATTTCTACATACTAATGTCCAGCGCTTATACATCTAATAAGTTTTATTTTTCATGCCATTGATCAATATGTGGCAAAGAATATTTTTATGTTCAAAAATACAAAATCACAATGTATTCACCCATGCCTAAGATGTTTGAAAACCCTCAAAAGCATTCTTTCTCCGCTACATTGCCTTAGTTCTTCACAAAAAAAATTCCTTTTTTGTATTTTAAAGAAGCAGAGATGTTCAACTCCTTAAGTAGCTGAAGGGGATTGGAAGACTGAAACATTTTCTTTCATCTAGAAGTAACCAAGGCACCTTCTAAGACTAGAACATGGGTAGATTTTTTTGTTACTATTCATGAGAATTTTACCTTTTATGTGAGCAATGCATAAGGGAGAAATATGTTCTTCTTACTTACTAGTGTATAGTAGTAGATCTGTGGGTTACTTAGGTCTTCCACTTTTTTTACTAGTAACTTTGCAGGTAAATTGTTTTGGAGAGTTATGATCACCATATTTGCTGAAAAATATATGCATATTATGTAATATATAGTAATATAAGCTGAACTAGTGATACCCAAATGACTAGATTAATTTCGGCAGCTCTTAGAGCAATGATGAGAATGATTGAACGTTGCAATCACAAAGTGCTCAGTGCTGGAAGACTAAAGATGAAATGCCTAATATTTCTTACTGACCCTTGAGACAGGAATAAAGGAAGAAACCAAAAGTGGCATATATTCCAAAAAATTACAATTTTCTATTTACGTAGAGTCTCGCTTCAGGTTCTGGAGCCTTGGAAATATGATATGCTCATAAAACCTTCTCGTTCGGAAAAATAACACCAATGAGAGGATTGACCCAGAAAAGCTAACTGATCCCATCACTAGGAAGGATATCATAAAGCAGTGGCTGTTCGCGCACGCCCTCAGGTCAGACAACCGTCCTACCTTCATGTCAAAGAGATATCCGACCACTTTTACCGATAGGATGTAGGACCCCAGAGGGCTCGCCAAGGATATCATGTTGAACACCGTTCCCATGTGGCGTAGTCCAAAAATCTCTGATGTGATGATGGGGGCCAATGACCACTGGCAACCATAACACAGGCCGACGAATATCGATCCAATATAGAGAGCTCCAGGTATGCCGGAAGAAATCACTACATGTCCGACGGACATAATCGCCAGCGTTATAGAGATGAATAACGGCCTTGCATAGCCTTTTGATTGAAGGAAGTAGTCTGAGGTGTAACCTGCCCCAAAACGGCCTAGAAAATTCCATATGCTCCACAGAGAGACCAAGGTGTTGGTCTCTTTGCTAGTGTAACCAAGTGAATGTCCAATCTGACCAATATTGTTGACCGTGGCTAATCCCGAGCCCATGCCGCATGCCATGGCCAGAAACAACAGCCAAAAATTGATGGTCCTCATGGCTTGGAGGAGAGTTAGATCGTTGTCTCTCATATAGATCCTTTCTCCGCATGTTGGAGGCCCAGAGGCAACTGGAACCCTTCCAGGCATTTTATCGTACACGGGGATCGTTTCGTACTCTCTTGTCACTCGTGGGTCCAATCGGTTATCTTCCTGTATTAGTGGGTTTCTTTCACTGATCAATGCTTCTTCTTGCTGTTGTACGGGGTCTTGAGAGTTGCCTTTGATTGCAATGTACGCTGGAGATGCGAGTAGTATCAGCAGCAAGAAAAATATGAAAATCCTTGTCAGTGATGGAAGGGGCTGCAAGTTTTCCCAAATTATGATCATCATTAGGTACCCGGCGACGACCAAAGATATTAGAGAGAAGCCATTCAGGACTGGTTTCTCCCTTCTATGCTGTGCCTGGTTAACATGTACAAAACTCATGAGGAGAAGCGTGAGGAGCGTTGGCAACACTGCGAGCATGAGAAGAAAGTAGCTCGGCTTTCCTTCAAACGATGTTCGAAATAGCTGGATTAGAATTGCTCCGCTGAGACCTAAAAAGCCCTAAACAAAAAGGATTGAATCGAAGAACTCTTCAGAATAATCTTATCAATCATAAAAGATGAAAAAATAATGTTTTATAAGTAATCGAGTTTGGAAGAAACTGGCTCAGATAGATCTCCGTTTTTGGATTACATCATTTGGGGATGATGACAAAAAATAACTTTGATTGTGTATGTTTGAATGCGTTTTTTTGAACTGGTGAAGATTATCCATTAATGGGTATGTAGATTTCATGCTTTTTGATCAGAATTGGGCATTCAGGAGCACATGAAATACTTCACCGCACCGGGGGGTTCACTGACGGAACTACCTTCATGATGCCCACGACGGTGCCCCGGTTATCTGGGAAGTTCTGTGCGGCGGTGACGACGCAGGCGGTATTAAAGAAGGTGGTGGAGTTGGAGGCGAGGAACATGAGGAGACACATCAGCGGCAGCGGGAGGCGGGGTATGGCACCGGTTACGGCGAGCCAGATGGGGAAGAATCCGGCGAAGCTGAGGACGGCGCCGACGGCGAGCACCGGCCGTGGGCCGCCACCGGCGACGGAAGAGGAGTAGAGGAAACCCGAGGAAAGCCCGGCGTTGCCACCGACGTCCTTGAAGAGGGCGACGGTGTTGAGGGCGGTGCGGGTGTAGCCCTGAGAGGACTGGAGGAGGGAGGAGTAGACGCCGAAGCAGTAAATGGAGCCGCTGGTGCACTGGATCCATATGCTCGCCGCCGTCGCCGACCACTTTGTCCTCCCTCCGGCGATCCTCATCTCTCTCTCTCTCTCTATCTTTCTCTCTCTCTCTCTCTCTCTCGCTCTTGTTTGAGTGCTTTTGAATGAATATATGAGGTGGGAGTGAGATAAACGGAGGTGTTTTCTAACGTCGTCGCCATCGTTGGGGTATTCTTCTATTGAACAACCTACCTGGAATGGGCATCACAGCGAAGCTCTTCCTCTCTCTCACTCTCTGTGTCTCTACCTGTCCCCTTCTCTCTGTCTTTGTCCCTCTCCCTCTTCTTCTCCGCTTCTCCAATTCGTATGTCCACGTATTCCACACACGTCTGTCTTCTTCTTCCCCCCCCCCGTCTCTCTCTCTCTCTCTCTCTCTCTCTCTCTCTCTATCTGTCCCTGTTTCTCTGTCTTTGTCCCTCTCCTTCTTTTTCTCCTCTTCTCCAACTCGTATGTCCACATATTCCACACACGTCTCACTCTTCTTCTTCTCTCTCTCTCCCTCTCTCGCTATCTATCTGTCCATCTCTTCCTGTATCCCTCTCCCTCCGCCATGCATTCTACACATTTGTGACTCCGTCGTCGACGTATTTCACGTGCATGGGGTTTTCAACGTGGTTGACGTGGACCGATCGAGGTCGTCTCTGACTTAATGATAGCCTGCTTGCCGGAATATTCCCCAGGCATACCAAGAGGGTCAATGGGTCGAATAACAACGAAGCCCAACACGACTCGACGATGACTATTGTGGCCAGTCTCGTGTGTTGCGCCATGTGGCCATCTCTACATCCTCTACGCAGCAGCGGTGGCTGCAGAAAATATTACACGTGGCGCTAAAATCATATTTGGGGCCCACATACAGCCTGCTCACTACGACTTTGAAAGGATTGATTTCCAAATTTGATGTATATCAAGGTTTTTTCATAGATGTATCTATATCGAGGCAGTTAAAAAACCCATAAAACTCTTAATTATATTAATTAACTCTTTCCATTTTTATTTTTTAACCCAAAAATCTTATATCTATAAATTAGTCGGCTGATTAATAAATTCAAAGGAGATTGTGCCCTTTTCATGATTAAATATATTTTTTTAGGTACTGCCGAAAATTTTAAAAAAATCCATTCTGAATTGATGCTCTTTAATTTGACATCATAATGTATAATTTACCAAACTAACCTCCATTATTGGTGCGCCCACGTTGTCTGGGTGATTCTCAATCTTCATATGTGTCCTTACCGTGACACACCAACTGAAGAGTATACGTGGCAAGAGCATGCCACATGGACACGGTTGGATTGTGAAAACGTTGAGATGGTTTGCCACGTATAGGACGTTGATTGCGATCTATTAGGGACATTTAGAGTGAGATTCTGGAATGGACGTACGTGCCTGCGTAGGTACCCCGACCCATCATGCTTTCGCTTTCCCTCTCTATACATCAACGCAGGTAATGATCAACATGTATGCCCTAGCCGCACGTTTTTATCGCATTCTGAGAGAGAGAGAGCCTTCTCGCTTTCACAAGGCTTATGGAGAGAGAGAGAGAGAGAGAGAGAGAGAGAGAGAGAGAGGGAGGGAGGGAGAAGGAGGGAGAGAGAGAGGAAGGTGGAGAGGGGGAAAGGGAGGGAGAGAGATAGAGAGAGAGAGAGAGATAGAGAGAGAGAGAGAGATAGATAGATAGAGAGAGTGGGGGCGAGAGAGAGAGGGAGATATAGATAGATAGAGGGAGTGAGAGCGAGAGAGAGAGGGAGATATAGATAGATAGGAAGAGGGAGTGAGAGCCACAGACAGAGAGAGAGAGAGAGAGAGAGGATTTGATTCTTTTCTAAATGACTATGGTGTAAAACGTATATCATACCCACATAAATACATAATACAACTTCAATAAAATACATAACACATGATTTTAGAGTAATTTGACTCGCAATTCATTTCTCCTTTCTTATGTGTCCTCTTGTTCAACTTTCCACTAATTTCTTGGTAAGATTACACATTAGATATTAAACTTACGATTAGAGAAACATTAATGACATCATAATCATTTAGTGCTTATGAAATTAACTTCTGCATTACTTTTGGGCAATCATGCTTCTACCTACTTTCATGCTTCTAGCCCATAAGCTAATTTAGAACATTATCACTCCTTCACTAGGCTGATGATTTTAATGTACAAGAAAGATAGACTTGTTAAACTTGAGTAAAAGTGATGTGATTCAGTTGTTGTATTTTAAATGATTAAAATTTTAATTTTTTAAAACAAGAAAAGCTTTGCATTTTAATTTTTAGAAATTAAAATTTTAGATTTTTTTTGAAATTATTTTCAAAAGAAAACTTAAAATAACATCAAAATTTATGGTAGATTTCGAGGTCAATCTCAGAGATGGAAGGAATCTTGGATTGAAATTTAGGTATTTTGATTTCTTTATAGTCTTTTAAAATAATTAAAAAATAAATATTAATGAATGACCCACCCAAAAGCTTGGGCCACATGCAGATAGGATGGATTTCACCCGTGGCCCATTTTTTAATATTTCTGGGAGAATTATTCACTTATGTACAAGTGAAAATAAAAAACGGGCCACAAGATAAGTCCATCCTCTATACACGTGGCCTATTTTTTGGCGTAGACTCAGCTATTCGTTAATATATGTATAATTTATTTATTTTTCTTTAAACTGTAGAAAATAAAAATTTGTGAATGAAAATGCATTTAAAATCACACTTAAAGCACAAATTCATGGCATTTAATTGAAAATAATATTTAAAATTGAAATAGATGGATCCCTATTTTATATGAAATAATAGATAATTTATGCTCATAAAATGTTAGTCCTAAAGATTGAGATTTATCAGAAAGTAAATACTACTATGGTTCATGATTCAGTTCATGGTACCAGTAATTAATTAAGAAATATAATAATAAAAATGTAATAGCGATGTGGTTTTGTATTTTAAATCACTCAAATTTAAATTTTCCCTCCCTCCCTCCGTCCCGCTCTCTCTCTCTCTCGCTCGCTCGCTCGCTCGCTCCCTATTTATACTTCGTCCTGGTTTCCTTTCTATCTCCCCCTCCAGCCTCATACGCCGTCGCCGCCGTCGCCGCCGTCGCCGCCGTCCGTCGCCGTCGCTGCCGCCTACCCTCCAGCCTCATCCGCCATCGCCGGATCCCTCCAATCGACGGCGTCTCGTCTTCCCGCCGCTGTTCCGCCTCCCAGCCATCTCCGGCTTCACCATCCCCTCCCGTCCCCGCCATCTCGCCTTCCCGCTGCCGACCCACCTCCCAGCCACCTCCGTCGCCGCCTCCCACCGCCGTCACCACCGTCTCCCTTCGTCTTCGCCGCCCCCCGCCCGCCGCCTACTCCGCTCGCCAAGACAGCCGCCCGGACGGGCGCCCACGGGACGGTTAGGGCACAAATTGTGCCCAGCCGCTGTTGGGTCGGCAGGTTATCAGCCCATTAACCGGCTGTCAAATCCCACCGGGCTCGGATTCGGATCGCTATCCGCCGGGCTGCTCCGTCGGATCCAGACTGAAGCCCGACAGGAGTCCACGGTCTCCGCAGTCAACGCCCAAGTCAACGGGACGAACCACAGAGAGAGAGAGTAGATGATGGCGAAGGAGGGGCCGAGCCAGGCTTGCGCCGCCTGCAAGTTCCAGCGCCGCAAGTGCGGTGCCAATTGTCTGTTAGCCCCCTACTTTCCGCCAGACCAGCCCAAGCTTTTCGAGAACGCCCACCGCCTCTTCGGCGTCAGCAACATTCTCAAGACCCTCTCCGTCATCGATCCTTCTCTGCGATCCGACGCCATGCGCTCCATCCTCTACGAGTCCGACCTTCGCGCCCGCTTCCCCGTCGAAGGCTGCGCGGGAGCCATCCGCCAGGTCGCGAACCAAGTCTACTCCGCACTAGAGGAGCTCGCTTCCCTCAACGAACAGATCCGCCAGGTCGAGAACGTCTCCTTCCCCGCCGGCGACAGCGACTGCGATGGCGATGGCGATGGCGGCGGTGCAGCCATATCTCAGCTGATGAAGGAGATAGCTGCCTTCGCCCAGAATATGTATGATGGGCAGTTGTACCTTGGCCCCCAGCAGCCCAGCGAAAACAGGTAATTTTGACTCATCTGATGTTCATCTCTCTACTTCAAATCTTTTGTGGGTTATTTTTAATCCGCTGCCTTGTTCTCGTCCGTGTTTTTTCATTGGTGAAGCTGTGAAGAATCCAAGGGCACCACGGAGGAGGCGCGGCAACGTGTATCAGGAAACGATGTCAGCTCGTCTCTCTAAGAAATCTGGACGTCGTGGAAGACGAAGATGAACTTTACAGAGACGGCGAGGAGATGCAAGTGAATGTTGCCAGTTGGTGCTGAATTTGATAGTTATACTAAACGAACGACAGAGTTGAAAATATTGTTCATGGGATATCCGCATCTTGCACATGGCGTCCCCCTTTCACCTGGGTTGATATTTTTTTAGAATTTAAATAAATATATTTTGTATGATTGTTAACATCATTTGCTTCTCAATTCAACAATTTGGGTTTCAATGTGCACGTTTATAATTTTATTTCTCTGAATATTTAAAGGTTTATGGCCTTCTATGTATCAGTCTCACGTATTGTCTGGTCACATTTTCATACTATGTATAAACATTTTCATGAATAGATAGAGAACTAGAAATAAATCAAGTGAAAGGAGTGGAATGAACCAAGAGCAGTCACATACACGTGGACACTTGAGAGAAGTATGAATGTTCTTACTCAAGGTCACAGCATTGGATAATTAATAACTTACCTCCTCACAATCAACATCATTCCTCGCTAACTCTTTCCAGATACAGTGGTCAACGTTTTCTCACACCAAAAGCGCTGCCGGCGAGAATGGCGTACTGTACAGGGCTCGAGAATGCTGGTTGACTTGCACTGGGGATCATCTCTCTCTCTCTCTCTCCAAATCCATAGACCATATGGTGTGCTCCACGCAGACCCATTCCGTGGGTTTGACCAAAAACCCATCTGCGGCGGGCTGCCTGCACGCGAAATGCGGCAACTTAAAAAAAATACTGATCAATATCGAACGAAATAACAGCTTAAAAAAATACGGACTAAAAGCATGTCTTTGATGTCTCAATGGAGATAATTGTAGAGTGAGATGTCTTAGATGCCTCAGAGACACCATTCAGAACGTTCTCGGACTCAGTCCGGAAGTTCCTGCTGCTCAGAGCGAGAGGGGGAGAGAGGGCGACGTTGACTTCTACGTCGGGGATTGACTATTTGTCTGTCAACTGAACTAGACGGATATTTTTTGTCCAGAAAATAACGGCGGATAACGGAGCCGGTTTTGACCATTCCTTTTAACGGAGGGGGGCAATCCCTTCCCAATGAGTCAAACCCGCGAGGGCCCGTAGCAACCCTTTCCCATGCCCCTCTCTCTCTCTCTCTCTCTCTCTCCCTCCCCCTCTCCCCTTCCTACTTTCGCCTCATCAGCTGGAGATGAGGGAGATACCAGACGGGCGGGTAATTTGGTGCGAAGGTGAGGGTTGGCGGGTTTCCGAGAGAGAGAGAGAGAGAGTGAGTGAGACAGCGAGTGAGAGAGTGAAGAATAGCCGTCCGCCTGTTCGAACCGCTCCATTAGTGACGTGTCGACCGGAGAGCTCGTTGGGTACTCGTTTTAAAAGATTGAATGACCCCTTTCCTCCTCTTTCCTGCTCTCACCACGCGCTCGGCCGTTGGTCACTCTGCGCTGGCCGACGGATTTCCTCTCCTCCGCCTGCTCTTCTCTCCTGGTAAGAGACACAGAGAGAGCAAGAGCAAGAGAGAGAGAGATGATTCTTGAGGTGCCTTAGTGAGTCATGTTCGATGGGTTGGTTGACCTATCGTGCAATGGAAAAGAAAGGGAACAGCTAGTTGAACCATTCTTTCATCAATCGTTAGCGTCTACGAGTTAAGCAACTAACGAAATTGGAACATATTACATTGTAAATCTCTCCCCCTGTCGCCATGTCGATTCCTACCTCGAGGTCAATCTTCATTCCCACATCCCCGTCCATCTCGTCTCCATTATTTCCACGGAGGACAGAGGGAGATGCGGAAGGATCATGAATAAAGGTCTTCTGAGACCATCTGCTCGCCGTCTCTGTAAAGTTCATCTTCGTCTTCCATGATGTCCACTTTTATTAGAGAGGCGAGCTCAGCCTCACCCATGACCTCATTTCCTGATTAATGTTGCCGCGCCTCCTCCGTGATGCCCTTGGATTCTTCGCAGCTTCACCCATGAAAAAACACGGACGAGGAACAAGGCGGCAGATTAAAGATAACCCACAAAAGATTTGAAGGAGAGAGATGAACATCAGATGAATTAAAATTACTTGTTTTCGCTGGGCTGCTGGGGGCCAAGGTGCAATTGCCCATCATACATATTCTGGGAGAAGGTAGCTATCTCCTTCAACAGCTGAGATATGGCTGCACCGCCGCCACCACCATCGCAGTCGCCGTCGCCGCTCGGGAAGGAGCCGTTCTCCGAGCGGTGGTACGAAGCAATCTGTTCATTGAGGGAACCAAGCTCCTGTAGTGGGGAGCAGACTTGGTTCGCAACATGGTGGATGGCTCCGGCGCAGCCTTCGACGGGGAAGGGGCGCGAATGTTGGACTCGTAGATGATGAAGGTTATGGCGTCGGATCGCAGAGAAGGATCGATGATGGAGAGGATCTTGAGAATGTTGCTGAAGCCGAAGAGGCTGTAGGCGTTCTCGAAAAGCTGGGACTGGTCCTGGGGGAAGTTGGGGCTAACTGGCACTCTACATTCATACAGTCAGAGAGACAGAAAGGAACCAGGACGAAGTATAAATAGGGAGCGAGTGAGAGAGAGAGAGCGTCTGCAGATCTTCCCCCTTCATGTTTTTCGAAATCCTACAAGTATGTCCGCGTCTTCAAGGCCGTTCAACGAGTCTCTGACAGCCTCCCGTTCAAGGACTCTGGGGGTAGCTTGAGGTGGTAGGCCACAACACCAATACAGTCCAGTATGCGGAAGTGTCCAAAATACTGCGCCTCTAACTTCTCGAAGGGTCACCGTGCGAGTGACTTGAGGCAGTATGCGCGGAGGTGGAGGAAGACCCAATCACCCGGGGTGAAGTCCATGATGCGGCACTTTCTATCAGCACATTGCTTCATTTTGAGCTGAGCCTTCTGGAGATGTTCCTTTAGTTGGTGGAGACACGCGTCTCACTCATGAAGCAACTGATCCACTCCCTCTGTGCGTGCTGAAGCTTTTTCATAGCGGATGAGGGTCGGGGGGTCTCGGCCGTAGATGGCTTGGAATGGTGTGGTCCCCGTGGAGGAGTTGAAGGTGGTGTTATACCACAACTCCGCCCACGGAACCATTTGGGCCACTGCCGTGCGTGATCTTCTGCGACACATCGTAGGTAGGTTTCGAGACCGCGATTGACAACTTCCGTTTGGCCGTCAGTCTGCGGATGGTAAGTGCTGGTGCGGTGTAGCATGGTACCCTGAAGCCGAAAAAGCTCCCGCCAAAAGGTGCTGAGAAAGATCTAGTCACGATCTAATAAGAGTGTCTTTAGTATTCCGTGGAGCTTGACCATGTCTCGGACGAAGATCTGGGCAATGTCTGCAGTAGTGAAGGGATGCTTCAAGGCGGAGAAGTGGGCGTACTTACTCAGGCGGTCGACCACTACTAGGATGGTGTTGAATCCACTAGCGAGTGGTAAGCCTTCGATGAAGTCCATCGAGAGCTCCTCCCATATCTTTTCCGGAATGGGAAGGGGCTGGAGTAAGTCGACAGGGCATAGATTTTCAACCTTGTTATGCTGACATACACCGCATTCACCGAGGTATGCCTTGACGCGGGATTTGACGCTTGGCCAGTAGGCATTTTGTAAGACTGTTTGTAGGTCCGGAGGAATCTCGAGTGGCCTCCGATCGCTGAGTCGTGAAACTCGTAGAGGAGTTTTGGGATCAGGGAAGATGTGCGAACTAGTACTTGACGGCCATTTCGGAGCAAGACGCCTCGCTTGTATTTGGGTCATTTGCTAGTGTCTGCTTGGAGGTCAGCGATGATGGAGCTAGTCCAATTGTCGTGCTCATATTCTCGTTGGATCTGGTCGAAGTCGAGTGCCATCGTTGAGGAGACCAGCGCAGAGAGCTCTGGGTCATTGGGGCACCGAGACAGTGCATCCGTGGCCTTGTTGATTGACCCCGCCTTATACGAGATCTGAAAATCAAAGCCCGTGAGTTTATTAAGCCATCGTTGGTATTCCGTTGGTACCTGCGTTTGGTCCAGCAAGAACTTAAGTGCGCGTTGATTGGTGTAGATCGTGAATCGTCACCCCAAAAGGTAGTGCCGTCATTTAAGGATCGCGAGTACGATGGCCATCAGCTCGTGCTCGTAGACAGATCGGAGACGCCCTGTAATGGATAGTCCCTTGCTGTAGAAAGCCACTGGCCACCTCTGCTGCATCAATACGACCCCAAGGCCATGGCCGGAAGCATCGGCCTCGACTTCAAAAGGTAAAGAGAAGTCGGGGAGGGCAAGAACTGGAGCGGAGATCAGTGCATTCTTGAGCTGTTGGAACGCGGCCTCTGCGTCTGAGTTCCAATGAAATGCGTCGCGTTTCAGCTGTCGCGTCCCATATCCTATAATGAATCGGCGGTAATAGCCGGTGAACCCCTAGAATCCCCGAAGTTCTCTGAGGGTTGTTGGAGATGGCCAGCTGGTGACTATTGTGATCTTCTCTGGATCCATAGTCACCCAGTCAGCGGAGAGGGAGGACGTGTCCTAAATACATGATGCGTTCTTCGCCGAAGATGTGCGGTTATCCGGGAAGGATGAGGAAGGTATTAGTGACCTCGAAGTCTTGGATGTCGACAGCAAGGTTGTAGCAGATGCCGTTGCCGGCCACCCTTTCTCCCGATCCGGTGGTAACCCGGAATGGGGGTACGGTGATGACCGGAAGGTCCAATCGTCGGGCTGTGGGAAGGGCGATAAAATTATGAGACGCACCAATGTCGATAAGGATGGAGACTGGCTGTTGCCGGATGGTCCCTTGCATCTTGAATGTACCAACTGAAACTTCCTCAGTTATCGCATGGAGATCTACTTCCATGGTGGACAGTCCTACCTGCAGTGGTGGCCATTCTGGGGATGCCTTGGTTTCTCCCGTTTCTGGTTCATCCTGGACCAACAGGACCTTTAGCGTGGAGCGGCAGTGGTGGCCCGGGACATAAGGTTCATTACAGGCGAAACAAAACCCTTTGCGCGTCGTGTCTCGTATTCGGTTGTAGTCAAGCAGATCTTCCGTTTGCCCACAGTGAATGGAGGGTTTCGGGATTGCCTCTTGAGTGACAGGCTCGGTCGGCGCTCTTAGACGGGGTGGAAAAGGATCTACGACCTCCTTAGTTGGCCCAAATGTTCGGATGCGCGGTGCCTCGGCAGTTCGGAAATTCCCAGACATTTTGTTTTCTGCCTTCTGGGCGAGGGTCATCAGCGCATCAAGTCCGACAGGCCCAATGAAACTGACCTCCCGTTGCAGCTCATTCCTAACCCGTTGAAGAAGTCATCCTCCAATAATGGCTTAGGCAGATCGTCGACCACTGATGCCATGAGCTCGAAACGGTCCCGGTATTCTGAAACTGTAGCTCTCTTGAATAATTTTGAGGAGCCGTTGCCGTAGGGATCCAGAGTGGTTGGGGCTAAAACACCCGAGGAGGTGATTTTTGAAGTCGTCCCAGTCCCGGAATGGGGCTCGCCAATGGGTGAGGCGGAACCAGTGTAAGGCTGGTCTGTCGAGGTCGACCCCTATCGTCCGGAGCTTGGCCGCAAGGGGAACCTGGTAGATGGAGAAGATGAGGTTGGCCCGAAAAACCCATCCCTCTACGTCCAGGCCGCTGAATAGAGGCAGTTCTTGTCGATGCTCACCATGCCATGGTTCAGTGGTATCTCCGGAGTGGAAAAGACCCGCGGGGGCTGTAGGCCAGTCACCCGGCTCCGTGTCGTCACTGTCGCCGTTGGTTGTACGGGATGGGCCCTGACTGAATTCTCCGGGGGTCCAGTCAGCAACGGGGCCAAGAGGAGCCTTGGCACGGTGCTGTCGGGACGAGGTGCGGCGGAGGTTGTCAAGTCGCTGCAGTACGATGTCAAACTGGGCGCGAGATGATTCTTCGAGGGTCAGGATGCTGCGGCGATGGCCTTCGTCCATTGCGGCGATGGTTCGACGGAGCTCAGAGATGTCACTCTCCAGAGCTTCGAGGCGATTAGGGGCGGCACGCCGATCTTCCTGGGCGTTGGTGGACGCGAGCTTAGGAGGCATTGGCTCTGATACCAATATGATAGGTACACCTATCCGCCCGATTATCGTTGGGACGATAATAGTGGGCGGACGATAGCTTCTCGTCGTATGTGAAAAAGAACACAGAGAGAGAGGGAGAACGAGAGGAAGAGAATGAGAGGCAAGAAGACTAGCTAGCCAACTGAAGGAAAAGGACAAGAGAGGGTTACCCGTGTACCGGGACAACAACAGGAAAAAAGGGGAGAGGGGGATAACGATCCATAGAGGAGATCAGGCTCTAGGGTCCCCTTGAGCGGGTGAGACTCTATCCTTTCTTTTTTCCTCCTTTTTGATGTATTCCGCTGATCATTATATAGACCCTGCTTGGTTGCTTGGTCTTCCGCCTCCCTCGTCTTCTGTGGTGCCATTTCTGCTTTCGAGTCGGGTTGACGTTCAAGATCGCCGTCGACTCAGAAGTAGTGTTGATGAGTATCTAATCAAACTCCCACCACCTCTTCGGCGTCAGCAACATTCTCAAGATTCTCTCCATCATCGATCCTTCTCTGCGATCCGACGCCATGCGCTCCATCCTCTACGAGTCCGACCTCCGTGCCCGCTTCCCCGTCGAAGGCTGCGCGGGAGACATCCGTCAGGTTGCGAACCAAGTCTATTCCCCACTACAGGAGCTCGCTTCCCTCAATGAACAAATCGCTTCGTACCACCGCTCTGAGAACATCTCCTTCCCCGCCGGCGACGACGACTGCGATGGCGATGGAGGCGGTGCAGCCGTAACTTAGCTGTTGAAGTAGATACCTGCCTTCTCCCAGAATATGTATGATGGTCAGTTGTACCTTGGCCCCCAGCAGCCCAGCGAAAACGAGTAATTTTGGTTCACCTGATGTTCATCTCTCTCCTTCAAACCTTTTGTGGGTTATCTTTAATCCGCGGCCTTGTTCCTCGTCCGTGTTTTTTCCTGGGTGAAGCTGTGAATGTTGGCACGCATCCTCCGTGGTGCCCTTGGATTTTTCACAGCTTCACCCATGACAAAACAGGGACGAGGAACAAGGCCGCGGATTAAAGATAACCCACAAAAGGTTTGAAGGAGAGAGATGAACATCAGGTGAACCAAAATTACTCGTTTTCGCTGGGCTGCTGGGGGCCAAGGTACAACTGACCATCATACATATTCTGGGATAAGGCAGCTATCTCCTTCCACAGCTGAGATATGGCTGCACCGTCGCCGTCGCCGCCGGAGAAGGAGCCGTTCTCCGAGCGGTGGTACGAAGCGATCTGTTCATTGAGGGAACCGAGCTCCTGTAGTGCGGAGCAGACTTGGTTCGCGACATGGCGGATGGCTCCCGCGCAGCCTTTGTCGGGGAAGTAGGCGCGATGGTTGGACTCGTAGATGATGGATGTCAGGGCTTCAGATCGCAGAGAAGGATCTTGAGTATGTTGCTGACGCCGAAGAGGCTGTGGGCGTTCTCGAAAAGCGTTGGCTGGTCTGTGGGGAAGTAGAGGGCTAAATGGCGCTCGGCGCCGCGCTTGCGGTGCTGGAACTCGCAGGCGGTGCAAGCCTGGTTCGGCCCCTCCTTCGACATCATCCTATCTCTCCCTGTTTCCCTCTCTACAGTCATACAGTCAGAGAGACAGAAAGGAAACCAGGACGAAGAATAAATAGGGAGAGAGCGAGAGAGAGAGCGTCTGCAGATCTTCCCGCTCCATGTTTTTCGAAATCCTACAAGTATGTCCGCGTCTTCAAGGCCGTTCAACGAGTCTCTAACAGCCTCCCGACGCCGCCATGAATCCTGTGGTGAGCAACTTTGGTCAACTCGACATATTCGGTTGTAGAGGGAGAGAGAGAGAGAAAGGTCTTTGTGTTAATTGTCTCTGTTCTTGATAACAAGGTTTCTTCGAGTGATGTGCTCGGCCTCAATCTTAACCTCAGTTCCTGAAGCGTCTTCTGGCTCCGCCTCCTCTGTGATCTTGGATTACTCAGAGCTGGACCCATAAGAAAAACAAGGACGATGAGCAATGCGGCGGATTAAAGATAGCCGAAAGACTGGAAAAAGAGAGATGAAAAGCGGATGAACTAAATTACCTGGTTTCTCTGGGATGATTGGAGTCAACGTGCTCCATTTGGGAGGGTGGTGGTCCTGATTGGTGAAGAAGGCGAGCTCCTCCATTTGGGAGCGGTGGTGGGCGATCTGAACGGTGAGGAAGGCGAGCTCCATTTCTGCACAGCGGAGTTGGTGCAAGAGATGGCGATGACGCCCAAGCAGCCTTCGACGGGTAAATGAGCGCGAAATCGGACTCGTAGATGATGGTGCGTATGGGGTCGGTTTGAATAGAAGGATCGATGCTGGAGAGGATCTTGAGAATGTTGGTGACGCCGAAGAGGCGGTTGGCGTTCTCGAACCGTTGGGCTGGTCGGAGGGGAGAAGGGGGCGAACTGGCACTCGGAGCGGCATCTGCGGCGCTGGAGGCTGCAGATGAAGCAGGCCTGGTTCACCCCCCCGGTTCGCCGTCATCTACTCTCCTTGTTTCTCTCTCTACATTCACAGAGAGAGAGAGAGAGAGAGCCAGCGAATGAGCGAGCAACAGGGGGAGAGAGATAGGGAAGGAGGCTTGGGGGGTGGGGGGTCGTCCGGAAGGGGTCAGCATAAATAAAAGGCTCGAGGATGACGAAGACAGCATCATTTAGTTTGTTGTGCATCCTTCTTGGAACTCTCTTCCTCCCCCTCGTCTCTCTCTCTCTTCTCTTTCTCTCTCCCCCCGTCTCTCTCTCTCTCTTCTCTTTCCCTCTCCCTCCCTCCCCTTCCCTCCCCTCTATCTCTCTCTCTCCAACCGGATAATCGTTCAACGATGTTTGTTGTGGATCGTTCTTGTTGAGTTAGGCCTTGACTGCGGAGACCGTAGACTGCCGACCGGAGCACTGGCCGCTGATCGGGCTTCAGTCTGGATCCAACGGAGTTGCCCGGCGTGTGGCGATCCGAATCCGAGCCCGGTAGCATGTGACGGCGTAATCCCAGTAATGGGCCGGTAGCTTGGCGGCCCAACAACGGTTGGCCACTATTTGTGCCCTAACTGTGGGCGCCGGTCCGGGCGGCTGTCTCGGTCGGGGGAGGAGTAGGCGGGGGGGAACGGCGGTCCGGCGAAGACGGAGGGAGATGGTGGCGACGGCGGTGGAATGGCGGCGACGGAGGGAGATCACGTGGGTGGAGGTGGCTGGAAGGTGGATTGGCAGCGGGAAGGCGAGATGGGGGCGAGGGAGGGGATGATGGCCTGTGCTTTTGTCCCACATCGGATTATTTAAACAAAAGAACGTATAAAATTCGGCACTGCCTGATTTTGCCTTAGCCTGGCCCATTCGTTAATATATAAATAATTTTTTAATTTTTCCTTTAGAAAATTAAAATCCTGAAATTTCGCTCAAAATTCCTTGCGTACTTTAGTGAGATCGACCTTGAAAATCGACTATAAATTTAAAAAATTGTTTTAGGTTTTAATTAATATATTTCCATAAAAAATAACTTCTAAAAATTAAAATATAAAGCTTCTCTTGTTTTTTATTATAAATTTGAGTGATTTAAATACAATGACTGAATCACATTACTTATGCCCAAGTTTAACAACAAGTTGATCTTTGTTGTACATTAAAATCATCAACCTAGTGAAGGAGTGGTAGTATTCTAAGTGAACTTTAGAATGAAAGTAAGCAGAAACATGATTGCCCAAAAGCAATTCAGAAGTTAATTTTATGAGCACTAAACGATTATTTTGTCACTAATGTTTCTCCACTTATAAGTGCTTTATTGAAGCTGTAGTATCTATTTTATGATACATGCTCTACACTATTGTCACTTGGGAAGGAATCAAATCTCATTTTAGTATTGTAGTCACATATCTATCTCTCTCTCTCTCTATATATATATATATATATATAATGGCATGTCTATTAACCATGTTAATTTTATATTTTCTGCAATGCTGAACATAATTTAGGAAAACCAGCCATAATTTATAGTGTACTAGAATAGAAATCTTTAAAACATCCTAAGGTTGACCAAGGATAACAACCTTCATCTAAACCTATTCAAAGTTTTTAACAAGAAAAAACCTCTTCGTAGATATTCATGCCACACATGCCCTTCTTAATGCTTGATGTGTAAAAACTTTGTTCTACAATAACTTAGGTCACCATCTTTGACTCATCACAATGTTTGCATTAATATTGGGTTTAGTTTAAACCAATTAAATTGTAAAAGATAATATACTTTTCATCTTATTTTGAAGGAAAAGGTAATATGGGTTCTTTCATCTATTGCTGATTATATACATTCGTACTGATTTCCTATAAATATAAATACATTTTTTCACTCATTTTGTTTCAATTTCTATAAACTCAAAAAAAAAAGCTGCAAGTCATATTCAAAGGGTCACCACTTTTACCATTCCTTGAATAATCAAAACAGTGGCAAAACAACCATATAGTTCAGTGATAATATCAAAGATAGCTGCAGTGATTCCAAGACAAACATCAACTACCTCTCTCTCTCTCTCTCTCTCTCTCTTGCTATATACATGAAAATTTAGTTGTGAATATGGTTTTTGTTTGATCCATTTCAGATTTTCTCATAATTTCTTGTTCTTCCAAGTGTATCTATTGGACATGATCCCCCTTGAAAATATAATGGACTAAAATATTCCAACTTGAGGTTCAAGAATGTAAATTTTGAGCATAATTAAGGATTGCACAGTAAAAATGCTGGTTGGTCCTCTCTTTGAATGGGTATTGTAAACCTATTTATATATAGCACCTTGAATTTTTATCTTATGAATTGAATGCATCAACTTATATACCAATAACCCTAGTGGGTTTTCCTTTCACCATAAGTTTTCTAAACTTTGCTTCAATATGATTGGGAGCCATAGCCATCAAGCTGATGGATCCCTTCTAGATCAGAGGTTATATCCTTCTAATCTTGTGCATGATAAGATAATCAGAACTCATTTGTAATCTGGCAATGAGCAAAGAAGCTCAATTATTTCACTCCCTATTCTTTTCATTGTTTATTAGTGAATGATTCCATAGCAAAACTCTCACCCCATCATTAAGATTTAAAAGCATGGATTAGCATTGGATGGGTCAAATGTAATCTGATAAGCTGGATCTTGCTATTATTTCATGAGTTGTTGGATTAGGTGTTTGAATTTATGTAATTGTATCAATAGTATTGTAGTGTAGGGTTTTGTGCAGCCTAAGATTAAGTGGTTCCAATCTTGGGCAACTCTATTTTATCATTGTGGAGAAAAAAAAAATCCAAAATTGGATTAGGAGGAAAACATTTCTTGTGCTCACTCTAGCTGAAATTTTTGCAAGATTGACCAATAATTTTAGGTTGGGAACTTTTTTTTTTCCAGAAAGATCATAGATTTCATGATTTCAACAAATTTTCATTTGATTTGACCCCTATTTATGTTTAGCTTTCTGATTAGTTGTTGATTAAAGCTAGTGATGACTGATTATGTTCATGTTTGGATATGTTAGCATGTATTTTTTTTATGAATCGGCCAATTTAGATCAAAATTTGTTTATTTCTACAATTTATGATTGTGGGTAGAGATGGTGTCTCAAAGCCACAATCATCAATGTTGGACATTCTATCATTTATGGATTTGTGGGTATTAGTCCTAGGGCAATGCATGTTGACATGGACAATTGGAGTTCTGTTGAATTAGATGAGATAATTAGAGTTTTCTCAGTGACTTGTGTTTAACCAACAAAATCAGTTGTTGTGCTTATTGATGGTACTTTATATGTTCTAACATTTGTAAAGGAGGATTTTATTTGAAGTCTAAAATGCTTCAAGTGAGTTGAAGCAATCATATATTTACCATCATTTTGAAGTCATAGGAAACTTGTGAACTAATATACAAGCAGCAAGTGGTTTTGAATTTGATAATCTCCTTGGTTTTCCCCTATTAGAGTCATTGGGATATAAAATTGAAACAAAAATGGTAGTAATTAGGTCATTGTTATATTTTTTATTCTTATATAATTTTCTAAAATTAAAAATATAGAACTATATGTACTATCTTCATTATAGATCCTCAGAGCATCCCCAAGAACGAAGAAAGAAATAGGAAGACACACCTTTCCCTTGTTCATCTATCCAACGTTTTTAAGCTTATTACTATCACGTTTTAGAAATCATGTATGAATCAAGTGAGTCCTACAACCAATTTTTATCTTAAAATATAAGGCTCATGGGGAGGCTGCTCCATATGTGGCTGTGTGAATTCTTAGCATGGTTCCAAGGCAGTTTCCATAGTATATAATCTTCACATTTTTGCAGAGGAAAAAAATTATGTTCTACCTTGAAAACAAAAATGCTCTCCACTATCATTAACAAATTTGAAGTTGCCAATGACTCATCACCTCACTAAGATTACTTGTGAGGCTTGTTGTTCGTGAAACAAACACAAATTACCATTTACTCTACCTATCAACATGAATTCTGATAAATTACATTGTAAAAGCTCAGCCACCCAAAGTGCAGAAACAATGAAAACCATTGCTGGAGAGGTGGTAACTGTAGATGCAGTATGTAATTCGGTGTAGCACAATGATTCATTTGATATGTGAGAAATTAATGGAGTCACATGACCAATGAGCATTCATTGAATTTTCTTACATTTTTATCAGTTTTATCTCTACTTGCTCTATAGTTCTGTCTTTTTATGCCCTTTATTGACTTACACATGTACCTTTTGAATTTGTTTGCAGCTATGCATGTATGACAAAATGATTGACATTTCAAGGAGGCTGTAGAAAAAAATCATGGGAGCCTATGCTCCTTCCTAGGTTGATTGCTGCTCATCCATGTACTATGTTTTTCTATGTTACTTCATGGCTTGTTTCTATGCGGCCTTGGTTTGAGAAAAAGTTGATCATTCTGCTAGGTACACCCATAATTGGTGGCATGTCCTCGTATGTTTCTTGGAAGGCCATTCTCCATCGTCGATGGGCAAGGAGCCATTCTCTGAGTAGTGGTACGAAGCCATCTGTTCGGTGAGACAAGTGAGCTTTATTTTGTGCGGAGCAGAGCAGAGCAGAGCAGAGTTACTTCTAGAGATGGCGCACGTCACCCGCGCAGCCTTTGACAAGGAAGCGGGGACTCATAGATGATGGAGTGCATGGGAGCGGATCGTAGAGAGGGAAGTAGGGGGCATTCTCGAATGCTGCTGACACCGAAGAGGCTGCGGGATTCTCGAAAAATGTGGGCTGGCCTGGGGGGAAGTAGGGGGCGAACTGGCATTCTCGATTGTTTTGGTCGCCATCCGCCGTTATTTTCTGGACGAAAAATATCCGTCTAGTTTAGTTGACAGAAATATAGTCAATCCCCGACGTAGAAGTCAACGTCGCCCTCTCTCTCCCTCTCGCTCTGAGCAGCAGGAACTTCCGGACTGAGTCCGGGAACGTTCTGAATGGTGTTTCTGAGGCCCCATCTCAGTCTACAATTATCTCCATTGAGACATCTAAGACTTATGCTTTTAGTGCGTATTTTTTTAAGCTGTTATTTCGTTCGATATTTCCATTCTGTCTTCATATTGATCAGTATTTTTTTTCAGGTTGCCGCATGTCGCGTGCTGGGCAGCCCGCCGCAGATGGGTTTTTGGTCAAACCCACGGAATGGGTCTGCGTGGAGCACACCATATGGTCTGTGGATTTGGAGAGAGAGATGATCCCCAATGCAACTGAACGAGCATTCTCGAGCCCTGTACGGTAGGCCATTCTCGCCAGCAGCGCTTTTGGTTGCTTTAATATTTCCGATTTAACTCATCAAACTCGGATGATCAAAGTCAGGGCTCTTCCTATCCGGATTGGATTCCTTTGAAGAAGCGGCCAGAAGTCAGCTAAGCTCGGTTGTATTGGGTGATGATCAGTGATTTCCAGTCTGAGTTATTTGCAGAGTGAAGATTGAATGCAGAGGGTAACTAGCTTAAAGATGAGGACAAGCAATCCTTCCTTGTATTGGCCTATATTTCATATCCTATGGAGAAAATTTGGGTCTTCTCGCGCGCATACCTTTCCTTATGCTGATTGGTTAAGAGAATCTGTTAGCTCTTCATTTTTTTTCTAAAATGTGTTTTCTTTTGCATCTTCTTAGCTTGATTTTTCTTTCCTCTTATAGCAAGTAGTCTCAAAATTTTCTTGTTGCAAGTGTTCCGAGTGTTGTACTTTTTCTGATGAGATTGGGAAACTTTAGTGCTGAAT